CTCCGACACAACAACCCAGCACGGCGTGCCCCCGCCGCCCATGCCCGTGAACCCCAAACGCTCCGCCCAAGTCGCCAAGCTCCGCGACAGCGGCAACGCAGAGTTCCACAAGAAGAAGTACGGCGACGCCATCAAGTTCTACACTCTGGGCCTGCAAATGGCCCTCACCCGTCCGCTCTGGGAACCCTCTCAGCTCGTCCGCGAGGAGGTTTCGGGTTTGTACGCCAACAGGGCGCAGGCGCACATGGCGCTGCAGCAGTGGGCAGAGGGGTCTGTTGACGCCGAGGCTAGCGTCGAGGCGCGCAAGGTCGGCAACGCAAAGGCGTGGTGGCGCCGTGGAAAGTGTCTGATGGAGATGGGCAGGTTGGAGGAGGCGAGGGAGTGGGTTGGCAAGGCTCTTGAGTATGAGGGCGAGGAGGGCGAGCTCGTTGCGCAGTACAAGGAGATTGAGGCCCGTTTGGAGAAGGCGTAAGTCTAAGAAAAGACGTATGATTTCTATCAAAAAGGGGGGGGGGGGGTCATGTTCTATACGAGCGCCGAGGGAGTAAAGAGCCATTCCACTCAAAGCACTCAAGGATGTTCATACACAGATATATGGGTATGGCAGCTTGTAGTTCTAGAACGGGTGACGGGGGAATGAGGGGCAAAGAACCTGGCCAAGCAGTCTCGGGCCTGCTTTGGCTGTGCATAAGACCCATGAGAGAGCCGCCTGGCGCATGGAGATGGAAAGCCCGGGTAGACGCAATGGTTTGGCGGCTTGAAGAGTCCCTAGCAATTTGTGATTGTTCTTTGGCGCAGGTTGTCTCATTTTTTGATACAGGCTTGTTTGTTACTAGCCACTACAAACTTTGTCAGCAATGCGGCATCCATCATTTGCGACACTCGCGCCGAACAAACACATCAGGCTGGAAATCAGAGAACATATGGGTGGGTTGGGTCATTGGGCATTTCTAGTATACCATAGGTACCACTACCTGAACATCCCAGTTTCGTTATAGGAAACCCCCATACCATGATCCCAAGTCTCTTGAGATAGACTCAGCGAGTAATGCGTCTCTGGGTAGGAAATATGTAAACGCAGCCGGAGCATCGCAATAAACCATTTAAACACTATGCATGGGATGCCATCATTGCGACGTTGGCGCTCCAGTCATCCTCTGGATATCCCAACAAACCAAAATCACTCTTCACAACTTGTCACAACTTGTCTGTTTCCACGACGGCCCCATGCCCAATTCTCAATCCGAATCCCATATCCATTGTCCCTCCGTATATCCACTCAAAGGTGTATCGTCTGCCGCGTCTCGTCGTGGGCAATGTTGTACGATGGAGTCCGCGGCTACAGCGAGCTGTCTAGCCGGACAGCATTAGGTGCGAATCCCACTCCTGTCGTTCCGTGTTCGTGTGGCAGATGGCCCGTGACGGTCTGGTTCCGATTATTGTGTTTGTTTGGGTTGTGCGGTAAACATGGCCTGCCACGGCCAATTCTTCGAGGTCAAAGGTTGCTCGACAGTCTCCTACGCAGCCTGAGCAGGCTTCTCGTTCAAGGTCTTGCCGCGCGGACGCATGACGGCATCCTGGCTGCTCATTCTCCTGTCCAGCGCGCGTTCCAACTTGGCACCCAGAGCTAGCTTGCTCAGGTTTGCGCTCTTCTCCTCGCTCAGAGTAACCCTTTGAGAGCTGAGGGCCTTGTTCTCCATGCGGTCGAGGCCAACAGCGATGTCGGTGATCTCGGCGTGAGCCGAATCGTTTGTCTGAATGGTGTTGGCAAATGAGGGCGCCATGCTATATGTGCTGTATCGCACAGAGGTACGCACCTGAGGGGGGGTTTCTGTTAGTACTGTGGTCATTTTGGTCTTTGGTTGAAGAGGACGGCACAGATGGAGGATTCAAGTGAACGAGGGAGGGTCGGCGAGAGGTAGGTAGTAATAGGATTGGATAGGAACGGGTCGAAAGGCAAACAAGATCGGATAGGTGGGTAGCTTGGGGGGGAGGACCGGGATTTGCGGTGTCCAAGTGCAAAAAAGGGCACAGGGGCGGTTGCGAGCGAGGCGAAGCAGGTGAGAACAGACGCAAGACAGATGCAGGTAGGGCAGTTAGGGCGAAAAAAGGCAACATCAGGAGAGAAACAAACGTACAGAGGGAGCCATGATGGGACGAGAAGAATCGAGCGAGGTAGGCATTGTGTTGATTTTTTTTTTGGGTTTGGCGAGATCCCTGCGTAAAAAAGGTTCGTGTCGATGTGGCCGTCCAGTCTCAACTATGGTTCGAGTTTCCACAGGCCGGGGCTTGCTTCACGACTGTCGGACCAGGCAAGCAGGCGAGCCGAACAGGGCGAAAGGGAATTGGCACTGGATTGGATTTTGGCAGATTGGGATGACTGCAGTGAGGTGCAGGATTGCTGCTGGACACGGTGCTCTTTGCGGCAGAGGCAGCGGTAGCGGCAGCGGCAGTGGGTGCGGTAGGAAGGGAGCGGTCTCCGGTGGACGTGGCCGTGAACCGTGAAGGTGAGGGCGGCCGTGAGCGACTTCAGTCGTTCCTTGGTGCGTCCTCCGTTCGCTTCGGGGGTATGCGTGTGGGCGCGTGTGGGTTGGACCGTTGGCGTCAAAAGATTGAATGGAACAGCGGTTGCAAGTCAAGTTTGGCGAGCTCTGTGAGGTCACTGGGAGAGCAGGATTGCGGAAAATCAGGGACCTGCAGGCTTTGTGCTAGGTCCTTGGTTGGCGGGTTGGTGTCTCGAGAGGAGCGAAGTTGTCTACTCTACACGGAGGCGAGATGGAGGCGAACTTGTCGGTCGGGGGGGACGATCGATGGGTCTGCACCGGGGGGATTGAGCCTTGAGGTAGTATCGTGGACGTTGAACCTTTGCGGCGGTCCAGAAAAAAAAGCAGAAAAAAGGGAGCGAGTGGTTGATTGATGACGGAGGAGGGACTGGGTTAATTGGGAGGAGGGAAGACGAAGAGGAGAACGGAGGACGGAGGACGGGTCCAGATGCAGATTGGGAAGTCGCGGCAGGAGGGGAGCACGGAAATAATATCAGGCAGGCACACTGCTGTGGATCTGCGCCTGCCTGTTTTTTCTTGCTGCCCTTTGCACTTTCCACGTCTTCTCCTGGACAGGATCCTGTACGGAGTACCTTAGTGTAGTGCGCCTGGCCGACCTGGGGGTTTGGGACTGGACTGAGAGACGGAGGCCGGGAGTGGACGGAGCCTGGGACGCGCTAAGCAAGGCCACCTGGAGAAGGCGGGCAGGCGGGCTAGGCCAGGCCAGGCACACTTTCTCTCCTTGCCTCTGACCTCTCACCATTTAGTGCCCAGCCGGAGGTACCTGACAGGAGTACGTACGGTAAGGTAGGTAAGGTAAGGTAGGTACCTCTTTCTCTCCTGGCCTACCTTGACTGTTCACTCTCATCCCCCTCAGGCTCCGTGCCCGGCACCTGGAAAGCACGGCAAGTAGATGCGTACTCCCTGCACTTTCCCTCTGAGACTTCAGGTGCGCAATGATTCGAGGTGATGATCGTCGGATGTCAGGTTGATAAGGTACCTTACCTAAGGCACCTAGAGGCAGGCACGGAGATAGTACATGACACAGGTACCTACCTACCTTAGGTACCTCGAAAAGGGGGCCCAGAGAGGGAGGCAGGGCCTACCTCAGGTAGGTACGTAGGTATTTGAGAAGGGGCGCCTTCACCCCAAATCAATTAGGTATGTAGAAAGCACGGCAGGAAGTCACCATCAATAGGAAGGAGAATGGCACTTGTGACTGCTTCAGGTTGACTGGTCTACAGATAGATAGATACCTAGGTACGTACGGATTACTGGAGGAAAGAATGCTGGACTTCCGACTTGCACCTGCAGCATAGGCACCTGCGCTACTGTCACTTGAGATGGGCTAAGCAGAAAGGAGGAAGCAGCCATGTGCAGAACAGGGATCAGGTCATCAGGAGGGGAGGAAGCGACAGGGGGTTGGTCCTCCTTCACCAACGAATGAACATTGACCTCTCTCATGCATTCCCCCACTCTCAGGCACGGCGAGGGGTGTTGAGTGAGCCTGACAGCAGGGCCAATCCATGTCTCTCATGGCCGTTTTGCCCGATCAACAACGTGAGACGTGTACCGCGACTGCGAGTCTGCGAGAGAGATGTAGGTAGATACGTCTCTCTGCGATATAGATACGCAGCAGCTGGGCATGAGAGCAACACATCACAGCGCATCGCATCGCATCAGAATATGCGCTGCAGCTTCGCTCATACTTGCATTGCGGCACTCATCTACTAGATTGGTATAATACCCGTGGTCTATTTAGGTATTCAACGCCTCTCTGCAAGACAAGACGCTCTCCGGGGCGCCCCCCTCCATAGCATCTTCCGAATCAAGTTTACACGGGCCGCAGAAGAGTCAGAGGTCATGAGCTGTGCATAAGACAACACATATGAGAGTGTCATGTTCCAGCGTACCGAAATCAGTCAACCAGGTTGAGCCTGCGAATAGCTTGGTGCTGCGGCCCTCTAATTCTACAAAGTGATGACCTCGATAAAAAACAGATATTCGTACACATTGAAATGCAAAATATTGTATGGATACCGGTAGGGGTAACAAGACTACCGGTAGATGAGGTAACTCGCTGCACCCTTTTAAACTATTCGTGTGGTGCAGAGCAGTTGAGGCGCGTCTCAGCTCACTATGAGTCTCATTCTTGATCTCACTCATACAACGCGAACAATGACATGACCGGGAGAGAGGTAAACCATGGCAGGCCCAGGCTAGGTTCCTTCCCTCATCATGACACACCAAGTTCAACCTAAATACGCCGCACTTTCCTCTCCCGTCTCCGTGGCCTCCGTGGTACCTAACTTACTTCAAGGTAGGTACACAGTGATGTACTGCAATGGTTGCCGTCCCTTCTTTTCACGTCGGATCTCTTGTTTCTTCCATCTCGCCCACAAACCTTGACTTCAACCAGACAGCATCGGGAGAAATCTCAATCCCACATCCCATACAATGCAGAAACATCCCGCTTCCCTCCAGGGCCAACCTGGCGTCGGCACGGCACAGACTGTTCAAGGCTTCCCCTGTTCAATCTCTGCATTATTCCGAAGAAAAATCGCCCATTGACTGGATCCTTGGCCTCGCCTTGCCTTGGCCCTTGGGTTATCGTCGTCGCCTCCGCCCACCGGTCTGACTTGACCACCAGTCTTCTCTTTTCGACCGCTTGCGTCGACCTGCAGGCCAACAGCTGAAGAAACATGTGTGCCAATCAAAGAAACACCGACAGAATGCAGTCAACTCGCTTGCCAAAACCAGCCGCCCTCGCCGCCGCCTTCAAGTCTTCTACCGGTACCATACCTTCACCACGTCCCATTCTTTATCAAACCACCGCTCTACCCGATTTGCCAATCTTCTTCGCCTCCTCAACCTGTAAGCAGCCTACTGGCCAACGGCCGAGTCTTGTCCACCGTCCACGAAGGGGTGGAATTCCCACAGGGGTACGGAGCCACAATACACTGGCGCACAGGGAGGCTTGCTAGAGGTGCCGCTCAGGCGAATATGATCAACTCGAGTCTGGGAGGAAAGGGGCCAGATGCACAGGGATCGTGATTACCGATTTCGAACGAGAAACCAAACGGCAAAACGCTGCCCACTCGAGCCGATCACCACGCGTCTAACAGTCGCGGTCCAACCGTGAGCACTCACACAGCAATAATTACGGTCCGTCCGTCACACCTCTTTTCGCGTTGCAAGCAGCCTTTAGTTCCAACCTTTTGAATGGCTTTCCAAGGGGCCCGAGAGCCCCTCCGAACAACCATTAGACCAACGACAGGCAAATCAATACCGTACTCTCCAGACTCCGCCTCGGCTGCCCCCTCGACCTCACACCCACTTGACCTCACCATTATAAGGTACTTGGGCACCTCAAAGGCACTTGTCCAGGAACGCATCGCCAATTCCACGTGTCACTTACTGCATCGATTGAGTTCGGGCCTCCCCCTCAAGTCGGGCCTGCGAATGGCCTACCTACGCCCAGAGTCCTTGGGACACGAAATCGGCATCGCATCCGTCTAGTGACAGAACTAAGCAGCAGCTCTCTCTCACCAAAAAGTTGGACCATGGTTTTAAATTGCGAGAATTTGGCTTCGAGCTACCGGCGGAATCGTACGAACTGACGCCCACTGACTGATACCGCCGGCCGTACGTGCAGGCTCAGCCAACCACCAGCCAGCCTGTCCTGTCTCGGCCACTGTCAAACAGCCGGTGGCTTTTGATGTTGCGATTGTTTTTCGATTCGGCCTAGTCGTACCTAAGTTCTTTCTCGCCCTCGTCCACTTTCGTGTTTGAAGTCAATGCCGATCCTCTTGGCCTGGACAGGCCCAAAGACCCTGAGAACCCCCGTCAAAGTCCTATCATGGATATCATCACCCTCGCGCCTTGGGGCGGCAAGTCCAGAGGATAAGTACGGACACCTACAAACAGACTGAGCAGTACTCCCGGCTCCGTCGACTGTGTGACACCGTATTAGTGCCGCCAACGTCAGCGCCCTCGGGCACCAAGCTTAGCTCCTCACAAGCGGGGTCTCCATCTTGGATATGGCGCTCATGATGGCTTGGCTTCGGGACCGACGAGCTCCATGACCACAAGGCATGATTGAAAACGGTCAAGTAATGGCGATTACGCTTGTTAGACTTGAATCCTGTCGATCGGCATCTTGCGAGACCAGCCACCTCCGGCAGTTCCATCATACTATGATCGATCCCCTCGTGTTTCTCGACCTGCCTACTGCACGGGAATGGCAATCATTGTCTGAGATGTAGGCACACGAGGCTCGTCTCAGCGATTCGGATGGGCTAGGTATCGTTTTCATATTGGCCACCTTCTCGCGCCATCATCACCACTAGACTCAACTTCTCAGACCACTTTCGATGCGACTCTGGCCTGACCAAACACGCCAATGGCTGTTTCCCCTCATCCCCCGTCCTCCATCGACTTGTACCTTGCTGCTGCATGCACCGCACGTGGCAGACGCACCCTTACCTGGCCGCTAAACTTCACCTGGAACTCGTGGACCACATGGGTTCTCAACGGACGACACGTTCCTATCACCAATGTGTCCAACCATATCGCTGCCGTTGTCGACTGTTGCCTGCCGTGGAGGATTTGACTTTGCAGTATATTGGTCTTTCTGAAGCTTTATTTCGAAATATGTTTCCAATGAATCGTGACAGTCACCCAGCAGACTTTTCATGAATCAGGCCATGGGATTGACCTTTGGGAGCCTGTCAATCACTCCTCATCTCCCTAATCATTCGGCCGTAGAGCGTTCTCGGACATCACAATCTGCCAGGCCGGCCTGGTTGAGTGAAGGTTTCCATCGTCGGGTTTCACTAAGCATGCTGGTCCCAATCAAGATCGTTTCCGGACAATCCCGTCCCATGACTCCCATATAGACTTCATGCTTATACCGAATATCCCTACGAAGCTTTGTGGTTTTTCGACGCGGAAAGCTGTATGCATGCGGCTTATCCAACAGGTCCAGAACGGACACCAGAGACTCGAGTCATGGCATCGCTGGAGCTTCAAGTTGCTCCAAATATTTGACTGGGGCAATCACCACGGTATCCGTACACCGTACGCGTTGGGAAGCCGGGACAAATGGCCACCCACTCAAACGGTCCGAGTCCCTCCTCCACGTGGTATCCCGCAGTTTGGTTACACAATCTTGGGGGCCCTATCTACAGTCAAGGCTTGTTCGGAACGAAGCTCGCTCAGGCCGGTGAGCAGCTTCGAGAGACGATGGAGCTTTTGCGTATTATGCTGATGGATTCGAACGTCGGCGAGTAATCAGAGTCGACAACAAGCTACGATTCTTTGGGCCCGACATTGATTTATCACCGAGGATCAAGCTCGGACTCCTGTACAGACAGCAATCGCACCCATCAGCTCCTTGACAAGTGGCACACTTTGAGGTGTATCATCGCTTCGGGGACACGTTTAGTGCCCTCGATGGGCCCCTGCAGCCAACATCTCCAGCCGCACGTCAGCCGTGTTTGCTTGCGACGTTGTGTCGTGTCTGGTGGGCATCAACAAGGTTGTTGTCAGTTCGAAACAGTTTCGCTTGTGTGCCCACAACTCCACCCCAGCTAATCTCTCTCAATCTGATCATTCTGATGAATTTACGCCTTGTTATCTTCAGGACTGGGTCGCCCGCACTGAGGCGCACGTCGCTAGCTGCCGGGTCGAGCCAACTGAGTCGTGACGAAGGGCGGTCAGCTAGCGATACGAGCATTCCCCCATGGCACGTCCCAGGATTCGCCCGAATTTGATACTCTGCTGATCGTCAGTAAAGCGCTGTCAAGGTTTTCGAGCGGCTGCGGTGATAATGCCGAAAAAAGCGGTTCGCGATGCCCCCTCTATCAATTTGTGTATCATGGTCAAGCTTGTTGTCCAAAACTCCCGCAGCAAGCTTGCGCATGGACCATGTAGCATTTACCCAGTAGACGCGCCCCCGGCTTTCCGGCGGTTTGCTGCAGGCTGCGCGGGGCAATTGTGAGGTCTGCCGGCATACATAGATGCATTGGAGAGCTTCATGGCAGGGACTCGAAGCTTAATCACAGGTTGACGTGGTGATTGGGCATCTTGATACCGACACAGGTTGATTATACTGTCATGTTTGCTCCCCTCCTTTGCTAAGCCAGGCTTCAACTCTCACACGAAGAACACCATAACACACCACTCAGCTCGTCGGGGATATCTGGTCATTGATTCACGCTACTTCAGATCTGTGGTATAGGGTATATTGTGTTATTTGAAGGTGCTCAACAGGGCACATACTATGGCCTATAATTTGGCAGATTCCTTTACCGAATCTCCTGTGTTCCTGGCAAGTTCCGAACTTGACTTTGCCTACTATTACAATCCAACCAACGCTTAACATCTCTTAATTGCCACCAAATCGTCTCCATGTCCAAGTTACCAACTTTGAGAACATGTCAAATACGAATCGAACCCACGGACATTAGAGGAAGTTATGGAATATAAGGTAGGAAAGGGTGAAACTCCGGTTGAGGGTGAGATACGGGTGGCGGTACATTGGGCGTGCTGTTCGCTGGTGGTAGATTAAACTCTCCATCGGACTCGTCTTCGCTGTCGGCGTCAGACATGGGCGGAGACATGGGCGGAGACATGGGCGGAGACATGTCAAAGTCTAGATCAAGCCTATTTTCCAAGGGCATTCCTACAGGTGTATAGATCGGGCCATCATCCTCGGGACCAAGCTTCACGAGCGCCAGCTCCTCCTCGGAAGTAGCCCACTCGGCAAAATGCCCCTTTAGCGTCCGGATCCCGCAGGGAAACCTCTCTTTGGAGCGTCTCTCCCTCATGATCATGCCCACCTCATTCTCGGCCTTGCGCTGGCTTCCCGGGTCCTCCGCGGCCCAGATCTCGGCCGTCTCGAGGATCCGTCGCCAATTTACCTCAAAGTGGCGGGCCACGACCTCGAACCACGGGTTATACTCGGCGGCCGGGTGGACGTTCTTGCGCAGATGGAGCCAGTGGCTCATGGCGTAGATGAGGGTGTCGGCGCGCATCTCCGTCTTGTAAACCAGCGAGGCTGCCGGGGAAAAGGCCTGGTTGGGTTCGTTCCAGACCGGGTCCGGGCTGAATATCATGGCATGGATGGAGACGAGGAGCTGGAGGAGGGTGGACTTCTGGGGGTCCCAATTCTCGGTGGCGCTGCCTGTCCAGGTGCCGAGGAGGGAGAAGCAGACTGTTGGCAAAGAGTTAGCAATGGTCCATGAAAATATAGTGCAGGTGAGAAATCAAAGGGGGCTTTCGTACCTTGGCCATTTGAATATAGGTTCGGGTTGAACTTTCGACGGCTGTACGTTGTTCTGAAGACCATCTTAGGTGGCCTCTCTGGGTAATCGAGAGGGCAGAACAGATCAAACTCGAAGAGCCCATTCTCATACGGCGTACCTTCCGGTCCGACGATGAGGACCTTCATGGCGTCCAACCGCGTGTCGTCGTGGCGAACAAAGATGCCGTCGGGGAGCGTGGTACGCAGCATGGAGAGCTCCATCACGAGCTTCTTCATACGGCGGGGGGCGGTGGCCTCCGAGTCT